CACACACACACACACACACACACACACACACACACACACACACACACTTTTTAAACTTATTTACTTGGAGGGTGTGCCATGGTGCATATGTGGAGGTCAGAGGACAACCTGTGGTAATCAGTTCAATTTTGTTTGTCAGACCTGGTGGCAGTCATCTTTACCTGCTGGGATACTGATCCCTTTACACTTTTTAACATTTTAAAAATAAATAGCTTTCTCCGAGGGGCTTTGTCATGTCTGTTAATTGATATGCCTGTAAGGATTTGTTATATGGGCAACTACTATATAATAAAAATGGTCATTGTTTTTTTTCCTTTTCTTTAAAGTAATAAAACTTTTTATTGGATAGTAGTGAATCTTCATTAGAGGGCTTATTAATTAGGATAAATATCAGACTAGCAGTGAGAAATGAGTTTCCCTGAGGATCCATATGGCTGGGCTAAATCATACTGAGTCCTCAACATGTGTGCCCACTCACATGCAAACACATACAAACACACACGTCCATTCTGCCTTTCTACCCAGACCATGGGATGTGTAACTGAGCCAGCTAGAAATGCCGACTTTCACAACCAATGTGTAGCAGACACGGCCTTGATCTACCTACCCTGGTGCAATGATGAAGAGACCATCTAGGGTTCTGCCTTTACAGACAGGATTTGCCATCTGCCCCTTCCTCCATGCTTGCCTGTGATGTTCCAGTGGTGGCTGATATTCTATTGACCTCCCAATGATCTACTCACTCAACCTTCATGTGCAATAGCAACAAGGGAAGTTTGGGTTCAGGGCCTGAGGGTGTGGCTCAGTGGTAGAGTATGAGGAAAGCCAAATGTTCCATCTGAGCACCAAAAAGAGAAAAGCTTGGGTTCAACGTCAATCGAAGAGCTCCTGCAAGTGGTCATAGTATCTTTCTTATGGGCTGGAAAGAAGCCTCCTTCCCAATTACTCGACATTTTGCCAATTTCTTAGTAAAGTCTATGGCAATTACCTACTGCCTCCTCAGGAGATAGATTGATGTTATCTGTGTATAGGTATTCCAGGAAAGCTCGGAACACAGGATATGAAAATTCACTCATTTCTACAATATCATCTTCACTGTCTTCTAATGAAGAACGAAAATGCTCACACCTGAAAGAAGAAGAAAGATCATATCCCAGGTTCTGGGCTGGAGTCACAGGGCTGCCTGAGAACTTTCTCTTAAAGTTGTATATCTTGTTTGCTAGCTAGATATTGGGTATCCCCTGCGGGCTCATCTGTCAAAGTTTGGTCCCAGGGTGGCAATAATAGGAGGTGGTAAAACATTTAAGGGCTTAGAGAAGTGAACCCCGTGTGAGACCTTCTATCACTGGGGAAATGCATTTAAAGGGACTTGGAACCCAAGCTCCTTTTTAACCCCTGGCAGTGCTGTTCAGTAGGCACTTCCCAGCATAATCTGCTGCCTTTCAAGAGAACACAAACAAAACCTCCAAATCAACCCTGAGCCAGAGTAAGTTCTCAGGCTAGAGTGTTGGTATAATGTTCTTTTGGAATGTATACAATTTACCCTTGTTCATTCAAATGCTGATTTTTCTCCCCCACTTCCTGGCTTCAATCAGGACATTGCATTGTGATGCTTATTTTAAGCTTTACCTGTCTCAAGTGTGTAAACATGCCACCATTTGTTCTCTATATTGTCAATTAAACAACCAGTCCCAATGCTGAGAGAGGATAGGGTAGGACATCCTGGTCCGGAGTAGGGGGAAGAGGAAAGAAGCAGGAGAGAAAGAAGGAAGCAGGAGAGGAGAGAAAGAGAATTGGGAGGAGAGGTCTTGGAACGTGGAGAAATGAATGGGACCTAAGATATGACTAAAAGCAAGTATAATGGGTGAAATCTGAATGGTAGGAAACTATGTGGGCTTGGAGATTTAGAATGCAGTAACTATTGCCCAGCATTGTGCTCTAGGTTAATTAATTAAATCCTAGTCTCTGTGTGGTGATTTGGTTATACAGCTATTTAGGAATAACCGCTGCTTAAATAAAAGATATATTAATAGTAAATATTTAATATACCACAACACTGGAATTACAGCTCTGCCACACCAAGCACTAAGTAAGCTTTTTATCAGTTATCTCAGACATTTTGGTACAGCAACAGAACACTGCCAAATACACCATCTTTGCCTTGGTTCCTTGCTTTATTTGCTGGCCTGAAGTTTTTATTGACTTAATCAGCAAGACTGCAAAAGCAGCCTGCTACTGCTATGGGCAGCCTAAGCAACTGTCTTTGCAACTAAACTGAGGGAGACATGGAAGGACCTCTGGCATCCTTCTCACACTACCTTTACTGATCAGCATTGTTTCTGTAATTGGATCATTTCGTTCCTTTACTCCATTCTGTCTGAATTATGTCCCCTAAAAGTTCTGGTGTGATCTAACCCCCAGTAACTGACAATGTGTCCTTCTTTGGAGACAGGCTGTTCATAGAAGTCCTCAAATTAAGCCAAATCACTGTGGTTGACCCCAAGGCAATCAGACAAGAGGGGAGATTTGGACACATGCAGATTTAAAATGACAAAGATTGCCACAAACCACCAGAAGCTCAAATTGAGACCTAGTTCTTTCTCAGGCTCAGAGAAAAGGCCATACTACTACTACTGTAATAAAGTAATTTGGCATGGTTTAGGCCACGTGTGTACAGTGCTCTGTCATAGTAAACTAAGCTCCCACTTCCTTTATGAAAGTAAGTGCTCCATGCCAAGAATGAACCAGGTAGCACTGTGACCTTAGAGTGGAAACCTGAGACTGAAATACTGTATTGGGTTTGTGAGTCACTGAAAGAGGATTTCAGTATCTTTTTTCTTTTTTTTTTTTATTTCAGTATCTTTTACATAGTGATAACAAAATCCCAAATCATTACAGTAGGAAGAAAAAGCTAGGCAGAAAAGAATGCCATATAATTTCATATACATGAGCTTCTAGAAAATGCTTAGTATGTATTACACCAGAAAAAATAAAATCAGTGACTGCTCAGTATGGGATCTTTGAGATATGACAGATTTTTCTGTATCTGAAGGCATGGTGATGTCTTCACAGACTGTGCCCAGGAGACAAAGGCGACATGGATATCAGAAATTAAACATAATAAATGTGATTTAAAATAGCTTTGTGCTGGCATCACCCAGATCTCCTTGGTCTGGAAAAGCCTTATTCAACCCCAACTATTTTTTCTTCCTTCCTTCCTTCCTTCCTTCCTTCCTTCCTTCCTTCCTTCCTT